CTGAAATATTATACGTGTTAAAATATGCATTTAGCACTAACTCCAGTGGTCATTTGAACTGAATAAACAGACAGACAGGCATCCCCGCAATTATGTCCCTTCCCTATTGATGACTCTTTTTTTTCCTCCTGGCAAGGAAGCCCTAGGTTGACAATTGATTTTATAAGCAGTATAGCAACACAGCCTCTCTGATAGTACAAAAAGCTCGTCCTGTTGCTTTCGTTCACTCTTCACTTCTCTATGAGCTATCCAGCAGCCTGCAGTGGAAGTGAGGGGTCCCCTTCCAGGTTGGGGAAACAGCCACGTTCCCACCACTTCCACCCTCCTGCTCCAGCCCCTCTAAAACACACATCCTCATTCAGAACATCTGATATGTTTGTGGAGTCATCTACAGAGCCTCACTTCCCAGCTGATCAAGCTGGAAATCTTAAACAATGGCACAACTCTAGATTTTTGATTAGGGAGGATAGAAGAGGGTCTTCAAATCCAGAGTACCGTTCATGCCCCACACCTCAGTGACCACAAGCACCTTCCACCAGAAGATTAAAAAACCAGCAGAGATGTCAGCGTGTTTCTTTTTCTAAGGTTTTAGTTTTAACTTCATCCATAAAGAAAAAAAAATATTTTTTTAACCCTGTAAAATGCATAAGGGAGCACACACACACAACACTGTAGAAAAATCCACTGTGTGATGAACACACCGGCTGTAATCCAGGACTAACTTTGTACTTCCCTGAGAGAATAAACTAATACATCTACCAACATCAGTAGCTCAGTTTCCTAAAGCCAAAATAACAAATTGAAAGCAAATAAATATTTATCTGGAATCTACTAGAGTCGATGCACTCAGCCACACACTATGTCACCATAGTTAGGAAAGGGACGACAGGACAGTTAGCCACTCATATGGTTTCCAAAATAAAGGGAGAGATTGGAGGGGCCCGTCAGAAGGAAACGTTTCACGTGACTCAAGGAAAACTCAAGAAACTGTTTGCTTTTCTCCCTAAACTTATGTTTCAGAAGAAGAAAGAAGCAGGTTGTGTGAGCACCAGTATGTACCCTTTAGGAATTCAAATATATCCAGATGAGAAGTCAGTGGCTGCCTATTCCAATTTCTAGTCCAGAGAGTGTTAATTGGGAAATCTGCATCCTTCGTTTGAAATGGTAGGTATTTCCGGACAATGTTGTTTATATTTCTTTAATGCAGTTTTAATGTTCCCAATATACACTGAAGATACTTTTAAAATTCCCTGTCAACACATATCAAGGTACCAAAGACCTAAGCTACAAAAATGGAATTTCCAAGATAGCTTTAAAATCAAACCGCATTTTGCTATGTCTGCTTTTACACACTCTATCTGAAATCCTGCAGATCATGCTGCCCTCTTGTGCCAGATGTCAAAAGCTGCATAGATTCTGTCCCAGTAAGGAAAACCTGATTTACATTTAAAAGAGAAACTGGCTCTTAATTTCTGAATGACTTACTGTTTGATTGGCATGAGCCGGTTAGTAAAATCTGATGAAAATGGACTGGGGCTAGGATTGAACACAAATTTCGAGGGGGGAGTGGCAGAGGTGGCAGATGACATCTGCAAATGCACTATTCAATTCAAGTCACCATCGAAATGCGGAGGAAGCCTGGGCACGGCAGAAAATGTGAGGGTCTTTAACAGACATGATACCATTGCCAAGATACATCCAGGAGGAGTGGATAAAAATCGAGATGAGTGAGAAGGAAGACAGGAAACAGAAGAGAAGTGGAGGAAAAAATCTGGCTCTGACCATTTGAAGGTCATACACTGCTTTGGTTCAAATTTTACCCCAATGGCTTAAGATTTACCAGGTTATCAAAGATGTGTAAGACAGTAAGGAATCATATTACACAAATTAGGACCTGATAAATCATCATGCACCAATGCCTGGGTTCAAAACAGAGAGTAGTAACCTAAAGTCTGATGACTGGAGAGGGGTGCCCTGGTTGGTAGCCGACCATCTGGAATGGGGAAGTGTGGTCAGAACTTCATGATGGAAAAGAAACATGTGTGTCCAGGTTTGCCTTGCTCTTCTCCATAAACCCAAGTAAGTGAACTTGGGATGTTGGCCTGGCAGTCACTATTTCTAGCACCTTCCGAGAAAGTGGGGGTTAAGTATAAAGGTTTGAGTCCCCTGATGATTAGCAACAGGAATGAGGGTCTGGGGAGGAAGTGTGCTAAGAGAAATAGCACATCCAGGCTGGAGCGCTCATGAACCAATGAAGAAGACACTTGTACCTACCAGGGCAGGGTCCCTGGTGGAAAGTACAGATGGAAATGAAAGGAGATTCTGGCCAGATCTCAGGTGCACGCTGGGATGTAGCAACCCCAGGATGGAGAGTTTCTTCCCCAGTCTCCCTCCTCTGTCTAGCTTACTGGACATTACCTGCTGGTAGAAGTCCTTGCTGCTCTGAGTTCATACGAGACTCTTACTGAGCATGCTCTAAAGAACTAAATATCAAGAAGTAAAAAGGTATGCTTCTGGGCTGAGGATATAGCTCAGTTGGTAGAGTGCTTGCCTTGCATGCACAAGGTCCTGGGTTCGATCCCCAGAACCAAACGTACAAAAAAAAAATTATACTTCCTTCCTCACCTTCTCATAAAATACACTCCTGTAATTCAGGAGGCATGACATTCTGGGTGGGTTTGGGGGAAGGAGTCTATACATTTAGCATATACATTGAATAGCACTGAAGAAAGAGGGCATGCCTGCCTTGCTACCTTACAGAGCAATTATTTTAATATATTGTTATATAACCATTACAGATCATAAATAGGCAACATAAACTATGGGGCATAATTGATAGCTGTGGTATATCTTTCACCATTGTACAAAATGCAAAAAAATTATCTAAATAAAAATTTAAATCTAAACAAGTCTTTAAATTTTTGTTTTAAATCCATCACTTGAAAAGTAAATAATATATGACTTCCAAACATTTTGGGCAAACCAGGCATATGTTCAGAGTATTTATCTGGGCTCCTATTTCACTGAAGGGATAAAATCCTGCTCATAGGTATGGGAGGGAGAAGATGAATGCTTATGAGCTGCTATTGTAAGATTAGTGACCTCCAAGATTCAGTCACTCAGCTGGTCAGCTAGGCCCCAAATCCCTGATTAATGAAGAAATCATCATGAGGAGAAGTCTATGGGTCTTGAACATGAAGGGCCTCCTTAACTGCAATCAGGTGTATTCATGAAAACAACAGGCGGTGACCCTGAAGGCTCTAAGTCTGCAGTTTTCAAGTTAAGTGGGAACGTGGAGCACCCATAAGGGCCTACCGTCCAGAAGCCGCCAGTCACTTTCTAATGACAGCCACAACCGCACCATGTTATTTGTGTGGCCTCTGCATTCACAATTCTTTGCACTTCACACAGTGCCTGGATTAAACAATATTTTCTGAATAAATCTACACAAGATGCTTTCTTATTTCATCCTTACAATACAGCATAAAACAGAAAGGGCAGGAACTGGCATCTCCATCCCACAGGAAAGGAACCTGAAGTCCAGGACGCTGTCACCGTTGCCAGCATTCACTGGCCACCATGGGGTGCGTTTTGGCTTCAAACACTGGGGATGGATCAGCCTGCTGAAGTCTCACAGGACTTCAGTAAGGTTGGTATGAATACTAACCCAATTTCACAGATGGGAACACAAGAGATGCAGAGAGATTAAGTAACTAGCTTGTGAGTATCAATGTAACTATAACCAGCTATTATGATTAGAAACTAGTACCAAGATTGAATCCAGACAGTTGGCTCCTGGAGCCACACTTTCACCCACTACACCCTGCTTTGAGATTTTCTGTACAACAGGAACTATGTGATTTGGTCTTAGTCACTCAGCTGTCAATGGCCATTCCAAAACTTCTCCTGTGCTCCCTCCAGACCTACTCCCTGGCAACTGTCATCTGCATAAACAAAGCCATTGTGGGCCAATGTGGGGATATATGGCCATGACTAACCCAGAAACCTGGGTCAAGGAGGCTACTTCAGAAGCAAGGCACCTGGGTCGGAGCAATGCAGGGCCACAGGGCAGAGACATCTACCACCTGGAAACCACCAGGTACACTAATGTGGAAAAACTAACTACTGAGGATCTCCACGGCAGGTACCACAAATCCCCATTGTGCAACCAAAGTGACTTCAAAACCACAAATAGTCACAGGTGACGGCAACAGCAACATCTAACAAAAGAAAGGAAGGTTGTTTTTTTTTTTTTAAATACACAGAATTAAAAGCTTTGACTGAGGGCTGTTAACATTTTACCAATCTTGGGGTGTTTTTGTTTTTGTTTTAGTACTGGGAATCAAACCCAAGGGCACTTAACTACTGAGCCACATCCCAAGGCCTTTTTTATTTTTTATTTTGAGACAGGGTCTCACTAAGTTGCTAAAGACCTTGCTGAGGCTGGCTTTGAACTGATGATCCTTCTGCCTCAGCCTCCCTAGCTGCTGGGATTATAGGAGTGTACCACCACATCCAGCAATCTTGGGTTTTAGTTAACTCATTACTACTGTGGGTAAACCTCATCATCAGGGTCTATAGAGCCCGGGGGTTCCAGAAATGGACAAGCCTCCTAAGGAAGAGGCACGCAGTCTCAAATTCAGGGTGTTCCTCCAGAGACAATCTTCCCCAAGGGGGGCTGACGCCAAGGCATGTCCACAGTCAATGTTTTAGCAACTGTCCAACTCCATTTAAACACATTTGCGCGTATGCCACATGACAAACTTATTCCTAAAACATTCTGCAAAGTAAACATTCATTCATTGTTCCACACACATACAACTTAAAATAAAAAACAGTATGGTCCTGATATTATTTTCTGTGGTGGGATATCAGTGAGGCTGAAAACAGGCACAGTTATTTTCTTCCAGGATTGCCTCCACTTTCAGAGACTGAAATGTCACCAGATTGTCAATGTGTTAACAGGACGTATTCACTGAGCAATGTGGTATCTGACTTACCTATTGGATTTCTATCAAAGAACAATACTGGAGCTTTCAGGATTGACTCAAACATTTTGTTGTGCAAAGTTTGCGAAGAATTAACGAGGACGTAGAATACCAACAGAGATCTTGCTATGCCAAAAAGGACGGTGGATACAGTTAAACCTGAAATAAAGAAACATGACTCAGAGAACACAGGACCCTTGAATTTTCTTCCATAATGCTAAAGAAGATCAGGTGATCTATAAGGATAATATGTAATTCATTCCAAAAAGCATCTGGATTTTTACAAAAATATAATGTATTTACAAGATGCACTGACAAAAAAGAATTGAAGGGGTTCATTTTCTTCTTATTGAATGGAAACTACATGGGGAAAAAGAGAAGTGCAAACTATAATTTCATTCTAGGCTTATCTAATTCAATTACAAGTTCTGTTAGAACTCAGAATTAAGAAAAATAATCTTAAAAAGTAGGCAACCTTGCCTTCTCCATATTAACAGGGAACAGGAGAAATGATTTACCTTTCCTTGTAGAAAATGCCCAAGTAGCTTTAAAGAATTTGAAAATACCACATTAAGTTGCACATGGAAAAACTCTTAAGTAACTGAATTGCAAGAAAATAGAAATTACATTTTAACAAAAGATAATTAATCTAAATAAGCAGCTAATCCCCCAGTGTTTCATATAAATACAAAATATTTATAATAAGACATGCATGAAGATTCAGTATGCCTGTAGTCGCATAAAGAGTTTTCCTAATACCTCCCTCCACCTGCTTTTCTTTGCCCTGCTGGGTTTCGAACCCAAGGCCTCAGGAATGCTAGGTAAATACTACCCCTGAGCATCAAGCCCTATTCCCCTGCTTAATGCACAATGCTACTACATACAGTGGAGATAACTTCTGTAATAAATATTTTCCCTTCTAACGACACCTCACATTATTGAACCACCAAAAGCTGCACAAATGCCCAAACTTCACCACCAGGCATTTATTTGCCTTTGCCCCACATTCTACTTGAATAAATAACGGAACCAGTCTCCTTTCTCCTCCAGGTCTCCCAGCCACCACCGATTCAGATGGTAAACAGCTAATGGCTTTAGATTTCTTAGCAAGAGATCAACAAAATGAGTACCAAATTTCAGGGAGCAGCTTCTTACAGAGATAAACTCAACTCTGAGGAAAGCTTGTACAAGCATTTTCTGTAGAAATATTTAAAATTTTAGATGAGGATTTCCTTTAAAAAGCATGCAAGGCTACATATATTCTGAGCACTCTTGTGAAAACAGCGCAAGGCGTTAATATTAGTCTGGCAAGCCAAATGTTAAATTAATCACACAGTCGGGGACGCGATAACATTGTGATTGCGAGGTAAGAAGAGAAGGATCCCTAATTCCCAGACACTGGGTCTCTCCCTGCTTAGCTTCCCTCTTAAGTAATTAGTGAAGCCCGAGAGATGAGCAGTACTGTGGAGGAAGCTTTGCATACCTGTGAGGGAATAATGCTTTTATTTGGGGGTCCTTGCTGCCAGAGGATTTCATCCAAGTTCAATAAAAGCCAGGGTTTATTCAGACAGAATTGGAACAATCCGAACCACAGGGTGGGGATCCGTTTCTAATCCCCTTGCCCATCCATATAATGATATAAGATTTAGCTAAAGCAATCTATTAGAATAGACAATAGCCACATATTTCCAGTGGCTGATTTTCTGAATGCTCAATCCTAGTTTAACTTTCAAAATCCAGTACAGAGCAAATTAAGAGTCTTCATTCAGCCTCTTTCTTCTAGTAGATTTTAAAAATAATTATTCTAATTAATTCAGAGAGTAAATGCGACTCAGACTCCTAATCTGTTAAGACACTACTGAATTACTCCTAGAAGCCCTAGTTACCCACACTGGCTCATTGTAAGCATCTCTAGCTCTCATATAATAGACCAAATGATTAAACTTTACCTGCATAAATTCCTAAGTACCAGTTAAGATCTAGCTTCTCGGTTACATTTCCTTCCCCATTGACAGTGACATTCAGCATACTTTGTTCGTTTGCCCTATGGAACAGGGGAAAAAAGGAAATATTAAGCTATAGATGGAAATTAGATAAACATCTAAAAATGGACCTCAATTTGGAAGGAATGTTTTATGCTAGAAAACGATCCCTGTCTCACACAGTGCTTTGTATATCCACCTTATAAAAATTCAATTTGAATCATGACTTTTAGTTCTCAACATGCTGCTGAGAATCAGACGTGGGTAGAGACCATTATGGGTCACACTCCACCAGCAAGAACTTTAATTTTTCTTCAGGTAACTATGCGAGGATTAGGAGAGAAGGCTCAACAAACTCCACCTCTCCCTGAACTCTGGAGAAGTGAGACTTGGTATTGATTATATAGCCCTTCACATGAGACCAGAAATAACTCACCAGTAGGAAAGCCACCAGTCCTGAAGGACATAAGAAACCTGGAGGAGAAAAAAATAAAAACCCAGCATTGGCATGACTTACCAACTCGAAACTTTTAAATCCCCACAAAGCATAATCTAAAGGAAGGTTCCAGAGGACAGAGATGGTTCTTCTGGCCCAGGTCTGTGCCAAGCGAGCCCTACTTCCTAGACAACAGCAGGTCAAGCCAATGCACCTGTCATCTTAGAGTCTTTAGAAGATGCCCTTTTCCGACAGAAGCTCTTTGTAATGGACACAGCCCCAGTTAGCACCACTCCTACTGGTCCCCAAAGGCAGCACTTCCGTGCAAACCCCAAGGGAACTACAAGGAGCAGCAATCACAGTGCAAACATAGATCCGTGGAGATCACTCTGCCGTTCCGTACCTGAGCTGCCATGTTCAGCAGAATGAGGAAGATGATGATAAACCAGGATGCCCCAGCTGTGAAGTAATTCTTATAGGCCTTAAAGCCAATCTTTCCCTCAGAACGGCTTTCCTCTGGCTGCACTGCCTGTGCGTTCTCTGTCTATGAAGGAAAAAGGGCAATTAAGAGACAAAGTAGTGCACAAGCTAGCACACCTGAACGGTTCAGAAGTTGACAGTGCCCCCTGCTGGCAGAGGGGTGGGAAAACAGGCACATGCTGCTGGGGGAGTCCAAAATGGTATATCTTCCATAGAGAAGGGTGTGCGAATAGCGAGCCAATCTATAAAGGCATTCACCCTGGATCTAGTCATCTCACTTCTAGGAGTCTCTCAGAAATAAGAGAATGGCAGGGCTTTGCTTGAAGCGTAACATGATTTTCAGCACAATGCCCGACATACCCAAGTTCGAGTGTAAATGTTGAAAAACTTGTACCAAAATCAAAAGTTAATAATGTGGAAATAATGGCCACTCTAGATTATTTGTGTCAATTAACCATGGAAATATAGTAGCCTTCGGTTCAATCCCCAGCACCAACAATAACCACAAATAAAGCAGAGGCTCAAAATGTTAGCCCAATACAGTAACTGAGTTCAAAGAGTTTGGGCAATGAGAGTTTGGATAGAAGGAATAGCATGTTATCTCAAGCTGCTTGTCAGAATCATCCAGGATCCTAGATGTGGACAGTGAGGGTTTGGATAACAAAAGAATACCTGTAATACTCAGTTGGAACTCTGCAACCATGGGTTCCACAACCACAAATTAAAAATGCCTGGGGGGAAAATACTACACCTGTACTGAACATACACATACTTTCCCTTGCCGTTATTCCCTAAGAAATATAGCATAACTACTATTGACAGAGCATCAAACTGTATTAGGTATTATGAGGAATCTAGACGCATTTGAAGTATTCAGGAGGATGTGCATAAGTTATACGCAAATACTATGCCATTTTATATAAGTGAGTTGAACATCCCCAGGTTCTGATATCCCCAGCATTTCCAGAAATGATCTCCTCCCAATACCAAGGGATAACTATTTTTAAGGGAGCTTCAGTGCATTTCTACCTGAAGGACTTAAAAATACATTATAGATTCACATGAGCTAAGGATGTACTTGGCTCTATGCTGGCCACTGGACATTCAAAGATGACTAAGATGTGGCTTAAAGAATACAAAGAAAATATAGGAACTAACTTTAAAGGGTCTATCTCACATGCTGGAAATTCTTAGGTGTTTGCATACACAATTTCTGGCCTAACACGAACCATGGGAAAAAGAATCCCATCAGTCACATGTACGTCAGAATCATACAACAATCAGAAAAAGTAATTGATTTAACACAGGCCATGGCAGAAACAGCCTAAGGGGTTCTTCAAATCAAGCCTGTGGATGTAAAAGGGGAGCCAGGAACCACCAGAGCAAGTAGGGGTGACCTATAATAAAGTCAAGAATTCTGAGGTCAATATCGGCCACATATCCCTCTGGAATGTCTAGCAGCATATCCACCTACTGATACCTAGGAGATTCTCCAGTCCAAAACCAAAGGAAAGCCCCCAACCAGGCTTGCTCACCTTTGGTCTGTTTTAATTCTACCAACTCTGCTGAATAAGACCTTGGAACCACAGAATCTACTGTGGGACAAAAGAAGATGCTATGCGCACAGTCGACCAAAAATTTACGAGGCCCCTAAGAGCCAAAAGAACCAGGACATCTTGTAACGAGAGACGAACTCACATCTTGGCCCTCTGCAACACCGTCTTTCAAAGACGGTCTAGAAGACTGTTGAGACCAAACCGAGGACTCAGAGAAGGTGCGATTCCTCAGCGTAGGAGTCCCTGGAACTGGAGACTGTTCGGCTTCCTCATTTTCCTTCTTTAAAAGAGAAGCAAAGTCGACTCCAGATTTCAGAAATTCAGTGTAAGTTCCCTTCTGCACCATTTCACCCTAAAATAAAAATTTCACAGAAATACATTTGCATAGGATAATATTAATCTAATCCAATCAAATCCTCATCAAAGATTAACTGGTCTTAAACTAGGAATGTACTGAGGTCTGGAATCCTGCTTGACAAATCTGGTATAATTTAATTTGACACATACCTAAGAATTCTGTTTTCTGCTAAATCCTATGTTAGGTGCTGGGGGATGGAGATATATATACATACACATTAAGGATGGAGGGCATTGACATAAATACTACCAGCATTTAATAAGCAAAAAATACAGATATTGGGGGGGTGGTCAGTACAGTCTTTTAAGAGAACATGGAAAATGAAGTAAGCCTCGTGCAGAACAAACAGAGAACAGGGAAAGGGATTCCAGGAAAGACACTTGATTGACAGGGAGGCAGACATAAGCATATGTACACAGGCAGAAATCACTCAACGAGCGACAGCTGGCTACCTGTCCCCACTAGGACAAGATGTACAAACTAACCCTGGACATTGACCCCATGAACTGCATCCTCATAGTCTTAACTCTAAATCTGCCCCCCAAATTGAAGAAAATTCCAACCAAAAAATCAACATACCATGTGACACTTCATCTCACAGCTCCCCCTTACAAACTTAAGGAAAATAATGTGCAGACATCTCTACCATTTTTTCATCCCATGAAATGAGACTGATTTGATTTACTCAGAGCCACAAATAAAATATTAGACAAAATCCTGGGATACAAAACAAATCAAAGGAGAATAGCCCTGGATTTAAGGGCAGGTCAGGTGGGGAAATGTGGCCAGAAGCCCACCTGCTACTTCAGTCCTTAGATGCCACCCCAGGTATCTTGCTTGGCCCACTTCAGAAGTAAAATTCACAAGCTTGTTCAATGAAATTACCCCTTTTTACTCAGTGTCAATGAGACACAAAGAGAAGACTACTGGTATAAAGAGGACAATTCTCTTGAGAAGACCAGTACTGAGAATTCAGAGGCTGAAGTAGGCAGCGATACCCTCTGCTGTTAGAAAGGGGCCAGACCAACAGTCGGAATGGACCCCAGCCCATCGAAGGTACCCTACAGTGGACTAGAACTGAGAGGTATCCTCAAAACCAGCAGGAAGTAGGGCCCCAGAAGCAGTCCCCATCTGAAGAATGGTGACAAGGCTAATCTAACCCCCACTGACTCTGTGCTCATCATATTACTGGCATTTGGATTTTACCATACTAGTTTCAGCCCTGTGCACATGAAATTAATTGTTTTCAAGTTTGAGGAATCCAAGCTCCCTATTCCTGGAGGAAGAGGAAAGAACTGACACACAGAACTGCTCTTGACGAGGTAGCTACTCTGCATTTTTATAATCCTCCTGGGGTTGGGGGGATTCATTTGACAGAGCTTTGACTGACAGGTTCCTCACTGTGCTTTATTAGGCACATTGAGCATCAAGGAGGCACTTAAACACTTTTGCAAGAACTCTGCTAACATTATATATCCTGCTTATTGCAATAATGTGAAATTTTTCTGTTTTTGAGAATGATGCACACAGATTTTGTGAACCGTGGCTAATATTCACTGTGATATTCCTATAACTTTACCAAGAAACCGTGGGAGGGTGCTATGGTTCACTTACGGTTTAACAGTGTTTCCCACTGTCCCATGTGTTTAAAAACTTGGTCCCCAAAATAGTACTCTTGGGAAGAAACCTTTGGGAGGCCCTTTGGTCGTGAAGATAAGCCCTCAGGAGGGGCTATGGGACCTGAGTCTCTCTCTGCCTTCCTGTTTGGCCACGTAACCTCTTCCCCACCCACACCTCCTCCATGACGTGACTACAGCGAGAAGGGCCTTTGCCAGAACTGAGCCAACGCAGGCACCCAGCCCTTTCACCTTAAAAATTGTATACTAAATAACTAGTTTCTCTTTACAAATTAGCTTCCTCATGCATTTTGGTGTAGAAATGCAAAGCTAATACAGACAAAAAGTATTAAAACATTTTTGAAGGGTACGAAGGGGACTGTTTCTTTGCAGGTGTAATCAAGTTAAAATGAGGTCATCTAGAGTAGGGTGTGTCCTAAGTCCAATGACAGATGTCCTCAGAAGAAACCCAGACACACACAAAGCATGCCACATAACAAGAGAGGCAGAGACTGAAGTACCCCAGCTACAAACCAAAGAGTGCCAAGGACTGCCAGCAAAAGACCCCAAGGTACAAGAGGCAGGAAGGGTTCTCCGGTAGAGCCTTCAGAGAGAGAATGTTCCCACTCATACCTTGATTTCAGACTCACAGGATCCAGAACCGAGACCATAATTTCCTGCTATTTTAAACCACCCGTTTGTGGTACTTGTGCTGACAGCCCTAGCAAACTGATACACTTCTGAACTACAAAGACTTTTAACGGCTTCTGCTATAGCCCCTCCAGTGCCAAGAGGGTTATTTTTACAAAAAAAAAAAAAAAAATCATGAATCAGATCATGTCCTTCCCCTGCAGACCACACAATAGCTCCATGCCAATTCCAGGCCTACTGCCCAACGCTCTGGGCCATGTCCTATAGCATGGGGCCTCCCTGAAGTTCCTCCACGCATGCCAGATGACCTCCTTCTTCTGTACCAGTCTGTAGGCAATACCCAGTGCTCTATCCCAGCCACCATATCCTCCCCAGGGAGAACGGAAGTCCCACCACGGCAGGGGTTTTGCCTTTCACATCACCACACAGGATCCACATAAACTGGGCACTTGGAAGCACCTGTGCACTTAGACTAGCAAGCGCTGTGCCAGGAAGGTGGGAGCTGCAGGTGGGGAGCCCAGCCATCTGCCTGTGAGTTGCTATGAATGCAGGCTGCTCTTTACGGAAACTGTGGGTGACAACCAAATGGGTGCAAAGGTGTCTTAACATCTGTGATTTCCAAATAATCTCCTTTATTTAAGTCACAGAAAAGGAGACAAAACCTTATAAAGAAACAGCACCATTATTATCATTAACAATTTCACTAGAACCATTGTAATTTGATAAATGTAAGGTAGCAGGTTTATGTACTTTAGGATAATTGATTTAAAATGTAATAGTGACATTTCTATAAAGCCTTTGAATTTATTTTCAAAGATAAGGACTTGAAATTGAGGGAAAAGAGGGAGTTTCCAATGAAGCCCAAGGAGGGTGACCTGCTGAAGACACCTCTGTGCACACACAAGAGTACTAGCAAGTCCAGATCTCTAGAAATTACTTACGTCTTTCAATATCAGAATATGGCTTGCAGCTTTTAGGTACTGCAACTGATGAGTCACTAAAATTGTGATCTTCTCGTGCAAGGTTTGACAAATACACCTATAAATGTAAAACGTACAATATATGAAAAACCACATTGAGGGTGCTCCAAATGGAAAAAATAAAATCATTTCAAGCTAAAATGAAACAAAGACAACAGTGCAGTCAAAGATGCATAGCTTAAGTACAGATGTAAATATGAACTAAATACAAATGCAAATATAAATCAAGGGAGCCACCTGGGCACTCAAACTCACTAGCAGCACATCTGAGGTTAAGCTGCTAGGAAATTCTAAACGGCTATTAATTTTTTTTTTTAAACTCAGTTTAACTGTTAACATATTTCATGATAAAACAATGGAACGATACCAAGATTCTAAAAACTTGACTTAACTAAAATACTCTATGCAGAAATGAGGAAGAAATAGGCTGACGTCATTTAATAAATATGTGGCTCTTTTCCTTAGACTGTTTCCTAAGTGATGATGTATGAGACTAACCTAAACAGAAGAAGTCTTAGATTTTCAGTAAGCCTTGCCAGAGTGCATATTCTAGACCCTAGATAGAAAAATGACTGAACTGAGGCCACAGTCAGACCCAACACTCCAAGCCTCGTGGCAGAAGCCAATTTTCTTTTATTAGGACTGAATATGAAAGTGAAAGAACAAAATTTGAATGGTCGAAATCACAGTAGAAATCATCTAATGGCTCAAATAACCCTAAAAAGTGCCCCCACATTTTAATTGCAGACCCTGGAAGCTCAAAACCAGTCCCCAGCTTCAGGTAAACAGAGTGGGACCCGGGGACCACAGGCAGGGCTGCGGACAGATACTGTGGGTTCCAGGTCCTTGCACAAAGCAAATGTCAGGAACGTGGGCTACACCACCATGTGCTGGAGAGCACCAAATCTGAGCTCCTCAGATCTCTGCTCCCTCTCACCAGCCTGACAAAGCTGGGTAAGCCACTAGACCTCTTAGAACCTCAGTTTCTTCCTATCTCACAAGACTAACGTCAACTCATAGGCATGTTCTGAGAAATCAAAACACCAACCCCTGGGAAAGGCCTGGAACATAACTGTGCTCAATAAATGTTATCTCCATCTTTCTCCAACCAACCAGCCCTGGGCTTTTAATTCAGGATTGACAAACTGTAAATAAAAGATGATTTGGGGATGGGGTCCATGATCAGAACCAAGATCTCAAACTATACACAAAAATTATCACTTCATACTTTCAAATATCTTACTTTGTCTTATTTCATACCTAAGTTTCTCAACCTACTAAACCTTTCTTCTTGTGTAATATTCAAGCTCTCCATAGAACTGTTTCTCCTTAACGCAAAACTACCAGCCAAACATCCCTTTATATAAATATCTGTAGGGAGATGTTAACAAAATCAAACATGATGTGTTGCTGTGTCCCAGAGTCTCAAGTCCAAGGTTTCAAAATGTTTCCTTTCTAACATATTCCATCACAGAAAAGCTAATGTAAATAAGTAAAATAATATTATTATTGATGACTTTAAAGTTTTCCAAAATTAGGAGTTTTTCAAAACCTCCAGAAAAATACTTTGTGAACTGTTAAGAGTTAAAATTTCGAAGACATGAAAGAGATAAGATCTTGCCATGTTGCCCATGCTGGTTCTGAACTCCTGGGGTCAAGATCCTCCTGTCTCAGACTGAGTTGCAGGTGTGTGCCACTGCGCCTCGCCATGCCATAAAAATACTGATTGGTTCAGCAACCAGTCTATACATGGACGATTGTTCTATACAAGAACTGTTAAGGACTGTTCTATACAAGAACTGTTAAGGGTTGACCCATACTGTGATGCAAGCAACAGAAATAGGAAAGACAGAGTCACTGCTTTGATTCTTTCCATCAACCCACATTGGCTGAGCAGCTACATAGTGTCAGGCACCATTCAAGTGCTGAGGACACACCCACTGGTCAAACAGACAACACCCGCACCATACAGAGGAGACACAAAACAGAATATGCATTATTGGGTCATGATGTGAGCATGGTGAAGGTTGCTATTTTAGAGGGAGTGGTCAGGAAAGACTTGTCTATGAGGAAGTAACACATGAGCCATAAGAATATCTGGGGGAGGGGAGGTCAGCAGGTTGGCTTTGGGGAACCTTCACACACTCACAGACAAGATTTATACCTAGCAACAGATCCAATGGGCATCAGTTAACCTAAGGGCCCTGACCTTCTGCATGTGAAAATTCTCTTGTATTTACAACATATAGTTGTAAAACTCACAAACCTTAATAGCTTGGATGTATATTCATGATTGAAGTAAAACTGTTAATGGCAAACAGAAGTGTAATTCATTCATTTTCAATACAAAACACTTCACATTTCTAAGCTTCAACACAACCGCCATCTTTCATAGCATATTGTTCAATCCAATTTTCTAACTCGTTGAGAACATTCTCCAGTTGCTGCTGAGTGATTTCCTAAATTGCATTCGTGCTCCCTGCTCTAAGTTTCCCCAAAGAATGTGATTCTGATTAGCAAACAACAATTTTAACAAGCTTGCTTCTATCAAGTGTATATCCAAAGTCATTAAACCCTAAAGGTGCGAGAGGACTTTATAAACACCTTCGTGTTCTCAGGAAAACTTGGGGGAGCTCTTGCAATATGCACACTGACACTCAGCAATTAGAATGCCTTCCTCTCTCCTCCAGAGGGACTCTACCACAGGGTCCCACCGGGAGTTGCTTTTCGAGTGATGAAGAACTTGAGTGGAAAAGAATCATACAAGTGACAAAGGCTCTTCTCTGCCCAGAGGAAAAGCCAGCGAGTCACAGTCAGGAGTGGGCAGGAGAGGAAGGTCAGATCGGAGAGCTCCCACTTTCTGTTCTGAAAAGACTCAATGCTACCAGGTACATTTTTTGATTGTGGTTTAAATAAACATACCAAAACTGAGCATTGTAACCACTTTTAAGGGCACAGTGCAGTGGTGTGAAGTGGCCCCAGGTGTGGAACCTTCACCACCATCCACTCCCAGAATGATCTGTCACCCCAGCACCAGACACATTTATATCCCCACTCCGGTGGAGAAACGTTTAGTGACCCTCCCTCCACTCCAGAGTCCCACACTCAGTGGAGGACTCCATGTCCTGGCTCTTTAGAGTCCAGAGCTTGGTGATACGATCATCTCACTCTGCTTGCATCTGTCTTCATATTTAGGACTGACTGTGGACTGACTGCCCCACTCCTAGTCTTATATGTGGAAGCCAAACCCCAGCACCTGACAATTTGGAATTTGTCTTTATAAACTTCATATGGAAACAAATTCCTTAAGGGCAAGAATGAGATCAAAACTTGTGTCTCCCATACTCTGCCTACTATGGGTCATTAACTTCTTTGTGGCTTACTGTCCCCTCCTTGGCAAACTAAGATGTGTCATGCTGTAACATCTGTCAGAGAATTTATCTCAGCATGCACAGAGGGCTCCCCTCACCAGCATAGGTGAAGGGGCTCACTGCCCTCAGCAAAGTGAATGACAAGCAGAAAGTTAAGGGGGGATGGGGGTGATCAGATACTGTTTTAGCAGGACCAAGTCCACAAGCTTTGAAAAGACCAGTCTAGAATACACAGGGTGTGTCTGTCTGCATAGGTTACACACACACAGAGAAAAGCCTCCAGTCTTCTACGTCACTGGCTCAGTGGCTAAGCAAGAATAAAAGAAGACAAACTGCAGAAAAACCACACGCAAGAAAGGAGGAGCACTGGACTGCAGAGGCCCAGCTGCACACGTCAGCTGACCCTTCACTGCTGAGAGTCTGCAGGGTTCCTTGTATTGAGGCTCCGTGAAGCAGCATCAAACTCCTGCAGCCATACACTGCTAAGGAGCAAACCGTTCCTGAATTCTGGACTAGTAACTATTTCTAAACCTACAGGTGAAAATAGCATAAACCAACAAGGTCTTTCCACAAAAGCCCTGCATGTACTGAAAACCGCTCCCTCATGTGCCACGAACAGACAGAGGAAAAGAGGCGACAGCCGGCACCAGTCTGCCGAGTCCCGTCCTTCAATGTCAAACCTGCACGTCATCCTTCTTCTTCTGGGGGTCTGAATCCCCCCACCCAGCCCCCATTCCGTAACTCCCTGGGACATGGGCTCCTCGCACTTCAACTGGCGGGCAGCTCCTGCAATTTCCTACCTCGACCTTATACAAGTGCAAACTTTTCTCTAAAACGGATCTTCCCGGAGGCAGGCGAGAGGGGCAGAGGGGCACAAAGGCGGAGGAGCTGAGCCTTCTGAAGCTAAAGGCCTCTCCTGTGCCTCCTGGAAAGGGCCCCTGATGCAGAGGTGGTAAGACCAAGCAGACTCACAGCTGGAACAGGTGCTTGCTGACTTCTGCGTCCACCGCACTGAGCGGGTCGTCCAGGAGGTAGATGTCGGCGTCCTGATAGACTGCTCTAGAACACGGGAAAAGGGGTCAGGCAGGCCACTCCCGCTCACCAGCTCCCTCCTGGGAACCATCCCATTCCACCAACTACCAATGAAATAACCCAAAACCAGTGCTTCCCCCGGACCCAAGCCTTGGCGAGCAGTTTCTTTCTACGTGTCCTCCCACTGGAAGCTGCAGAATGAATGGAGAAGGACATTCACCTTGCAAGGTTCACCCGCGCCTTCTGCCCTCCGCTCAGTGTGGTTCCCCGATCTCCGATCACAGTCAGGTCCCCGTCCTCCAAAAGCTGTAAGTCCTACATGGAGAAATACAGGAAAAGGGAGAAAAGACTCAACACTGCTCTCCTGTCACCAACCTAAACTTTGCAGTTCCTCGGAAACACAAGCATATCTGATCAGCAGCAGTGGATCTATTCACAGGGACTAGACTGGAAGTTTGAACCTTTCAAGAAAACTTTTGGGGCACTTTAATGCTGTAGTTTTCCAGAGTATTTTATGCACTCAACTATTTTACTGGGTATGTACTGAGCACCAGCAATAAGCCAGACATTGTTCTGGGGACAGTGACTTCAGCAGGGACGGAAGCAGGAAGCAAAGTCCTTGTAGTTTCCTTGCGGGAAGACTTGACATAAAAAATTAACATGACTGTACATGGTGATATATAGAATTCCAGAAGTCCAACTTCTACAGGGTGGCCAGCAATGGCTCCAACCAAAGCTGAGTCAGAGGGCAAGATGGGCCAGCACAGACATGGACAAAGAGCGTACCAGAAAGAGGAAGGAGCAAGGGCAAAGGCCCCGGGGCAGATGCATGTGCAAGGTATTCAAAGGATAGCAACTGCTGTCCAGCAGTTCTGGGCAGAGGGAGCAGTACTGGGAGATGAGGCAGAAGAGACCAGAGGCTCAGTGGTTCTACTGTCACTGAAATAAGAACAAAATGATCTGGCTTGTTGGAACCACTGCTGTCTCTTTGTGGAAGCTGTTGATAGGGCAGGGCATAAGCATGACACAAGTTGGGGGCTGCAGCCACAAGGTGAGAAATGTTCATGGTGGGCCCCAGGGAATGGACAGAAGGGGCCACACTCTGGGAAACTTCAAAGTCAGAGCCTTTAAGTTCTGGTGATGGTATGCAAGTGGGCTGCGAGGCAGAGAGGACCACAGTGCTTTAAGCATAGGAAAGGAGACAGCAAGGACACCATGGACAGAGCTGGGAGGCAGGGGACACAGGTGGAGCAGATAGAGCCAGAGTTCAGGTACGGCCAGACTGGGATGCCCACTGCTGCTGGACACACAAGTCTGCAGACGCAGGCTGAAGAGCGCTGTGCAGGCTTCAGCACGCGGGTGGCCTCTAAAGCCATGGGGCTTATTTTCCCCAGCAACACACAGGTGCCTTCACGAGCCATCTCATCTGCTCACATCAGCATTAGTTCCCACCACCTGCACGGTTTTCCATGCCTGCACAGTGACACTGGAGGATCATGACAGAGCAACAGACAAAATCTATACAGGAGACAGCAGCAGGGAAAACCAAAGGAAAAGGAACCAGGTCCTGGAGGGATACTGGACAGGTCGGGTGGATTGAGACCGCTGCTCCACACAAGCCAGGAGAAAAAGGAGAGCTAAGATAAGGAGGTTCTACTGGAAGATCTAGGGATCTATTCGGTTACATGTGATTATTTTTAAATTGACAAAGCACAGAACCTTAAAAAAGAAAAGAAGGTAAGAACATTTTCCAAAAAATAGGATAACAATCAGGTCTAATACACAATATTCCATTTAGAAATCTCTACTTAATTAATCGTCACTACAATAATCACTAGACAGGACCTGGCTTAGGCAGAGTATGTGGGTACGGACGAACTTTCACAGTTACCAACCACAGACTCTATAGCAACAGCCCTTTAGAGATCAATCCTCATTTCTTGGTCTCTACTTGGACCAATTTGAGGAGAAAGCAAATGGCACATTGGGCTCCCCATGAAAAGTGAAGTCTTTGACCTCCCTGGGTCCTCTTCCTGGAGAAACAGGAATTACTCAACTCCCAGGAGGCTGTGAGAACCCAAAGGAATATGAGGATGAACACCCTCGACAGGGAGGAAAAGAACAAGAATGAACTGCAAATTGGACTTGGTGCCTGGAGACATAATTCCCGAGCCAACCAACAGTGGGACCCCAGCCACAGTGCGAATCACTCTAAGCACAGCACACCCCGCAAAGAAAGAAAGAGACTATTTTCAGCTAATCCCACCCCCTCCACCCCCAGTCCAAAATGACACCTAAACACAGAGTTCCCAACAGACTCAAAGCTGAGCTGGACTACTTTCCAGGGAAAACAGCAATCACCCTCGTATAAGGTGGTATACTTTACTTTGCTTCTTTGCAGCGCTCAGAAGTGGTCGTCATCTCTTGCTTTCGGTTTTCATGTAAAACAATGAGCCGGTTTAAGATATAGGTCCCCAGCCTCCACCCCACACTGCTGATGTGGCCCATGGTTCATTGCTGACCATCACTGTAAGGTGTTCTCATTATTTCTATGCCTTGATTGTGTGTTGTTTCTTCTCAGTGTAGCACCAGGGGGTAACACAGCAATCTTAGCCATTTTCAGAGAAGACACTTCAAATCCACTCTTTTCATCTAGCACAATTAGGGGGAAAAGAGTGACTTCATTTAGCATAATTAGGGAACAAGAGAGGCTCTAGTCTGGCAGACAAACTCTGAGTACTACTACCACCAATGCTGTGGTTCTGCAAACTTACCCATAAGCCTCTGATAGGGAAAATGATCTTAAGTGAAGTCTAAGCCAGGCCAATTTCCCAATCGTGACTTTCTGGTCTGGGCAAAGGGAAAGCATGAGCCGAGCATATGTTTCAAGCGTCCCAGGGAGAGGAAGGTGCTCATTCACACTCACCTTCATTGTCTCTCAGTAAAACTTAACCCATTATTCCATTTACGACTGTTTGACGTAACCAGAGGAAAATCAGGGAATGGCTATGCTGGTTTAATGTCAAAAGGCCAGAAACACACCACGTTGCCTTCATGATGGCGGACGCCCCACTGAGGCTGTTGGCCCTGAGGCCTTGGCAAAGTCAAGGGCAGAGCTCTCCTGCCTCTGCTCAGTTCTTCTTCCACATAGAACTGCCACTCCTCTTGTGGCCTGTCAGTGACCTCCCCACCTTCCAGGCTCAGTTCCAACCTCTTCCATGAAACCATTCCCGTTTCCCCAGGTAGAGATCACCTCTCTTTCTGGTGGGTTTCTAAAACTTTCTTTACATGTCTTATGAAGGACTCGTCTTATTCTGCTTCACAATTTATTGTGAATTAATTGTACTCAGCTCATTTCCCCACTGGTCAGCTCCTGGATGGTAGGAACCAGGCACCCAGCACGGGTCTGGATGCGCGATCTCATCTAACCCTCGCTCCAACCTGCAGTAAGTACTGGCCCCGTGGACAGACGAAGAAATGGAGATCAAGCGTAAATGACTCTCAGAGATCACGAAGAGGGCTGGAAACTGAACCAAGCTCATCTCTGAACTGAGCATTTTTACTGTTTCAGTTCACGTTGCCCCAAGTGGTTGTTGAAAGATACATTTAAAATGCAAACAATACCAAAGCAACGGAACACCTGGAGCCCTCTATCTCCATTCGCACACTGCACAATCAACTCAAGCCTCCATATTTGGATCCCCCTCTTGCAGCTCTTGTGACTCAGCATTTCTTATTTAATTATTTATGTTATTTCTTATTTAATTATTAAATTTTATTAAATTTCTAATTTAATTTTTTATTTATTTCTTATTTATTATTCTAAGCCACAGGAGCCCATCTGTTTATCCCAATTGAGAGATGAAGAAAAAAAGACATAATAATAATAATTATTCCATAATTGTCAGGTCAAACTGGAAAGAAAATGTCCAAGTTAACAGGAATATGAAAAAATAGGAGGAAAAAAACTCTAAACCTGTGGGTATCCCAGAGGGGTGGTCTATGTGGAAAAACATCACACTTGAATTTATCACCCACATCTTTGAACTTTACTTAAAAGTTCTAAAAAATACCTAAGGATAAAAGGATAACGTGCAGACAGATGTCACTTAATCATTGTACTGCATTTATTATTGTGGCAACCATACTAGTATTGCTGTGTTTTTTTTTTTAAGTACACTATGAAGACCCTACACAAATGTCAAATTAAATAACAGAAGTTGCACAGTCAGACACTTTATTCCCAATGTTACATTCTAGGTGATTTTACCCAAAATTTGGGATATAACAAAGGGCTAACATTTATATAAAGCCTCTCCTGTGCTAAGGGATCTGGTGTTTTAAATTGATGATCACATTTCACCCTCACAAGCCTTATAAGGTTGACAGTTCTACTACCTCCACTTCACAGACGGAGAAGATGAGGCTTGTAAGGTTCAGACAATCAGCCAAACACACACCCAGTTAAGAAGAACTGAGACTCGTCACAGAGCTGTTTGACCACAGGGCCTGGGATTTTAACCACCATGACAAGATGATGAGGTTGCTTCCTGGGTCAAGTTCAGTGACTCTCCACAAGGCCCTTTGGAATATATAATCAGCCAGAGGGATGCTCCTACATGGGAATTATCACTTCATCTCATTATTTGATCTCGGAAATGTTGTCATCTCCATGAACTTCCAAATTTACTTCCATTAGATCTAGTACAAAGAAAGCATTTAGTTGTTATCAATATATCAAATGAGATATCCGGCCTGCCTTTTTCTGTTTTTTTTTTCCCCCCTCCAGGGCTTTTTGGAAAGAGGGTAAGAGGAAACTGTGAGAAGAAATCTTTATTTCACTCATCACTGACTGATTTAGATAAAAGGGCTACAACTGTGCCAACAGCTACCACTTACCAAAACCTGACATGTTTGCACTTCACAGGTACCGTAAGATCAACCCATATCTCCTCCAATTAATAAGAAACAAAACTGAGGCAAATGCCCAGAGCTACCCAGGACAGTTGCCCTCCCATGTCGAAGCCTCTTCCACTACACCACAGTCTGCGTACTACAGGACACCCTGATCCCAGGGTAGTCCTCTCATCCGTGGCCCCCTCACAGCCACCCCTGACACAGGATTTACCAAGGAAATGGCTGAGGCTCTCCCAAGGCATTAAGTGGTTCCCTGGTTTCTTAAAGATCTTGCTGATGTCCTGCTAAGTAGGGTCACCGCTGGCACTTCAGTAGCTGCAAAACATCTCAGCCAATGCTCTCATTTTGCATCTGACACCAGAGGCCACCACAAGGTAACAGGATGCTGTCTTCAAAGTAACAACAAGCAAAGGACAAGGCTGGGCCAGGACTCCTGCTCGGTTCTATTTCTTTACCCTGGGCTGCCTTCACGCAGAGGACGGAAATTGTGCCCTTCAACAGAGCAGGATCACCATCCCTGTGCATCAACAGCTTATGAAAAGTCAAAAGGAGGCCAAAACCCCAGACACGGCCCCTGTTACTGGTCCAGACCTCCCACGTGGCTGTGGGGGCCCCTTGTCCCACTTGCCATCACAGATGTTCCACCATGTGGAGGAAGGAGGCAGAGCTGGCTTGACCTGGGAGTGTGACGCCGCACATGGGCATTAGGAGTTGAACCTGATTAAAGGAAGAAGGCAAGGCTTGAGATTCTTTTTTTCCATGCTCACCCTCATAAATCACTCAGTCTGTCAAATAGTTCTGTCCTAGAAACACCATAATTAAGAGGCGGCAGGGCACTGGCAGAATTGGAATCTGGAGTCATGCGGCTACACCTGACCCTGATCTGCAAGTGTTCAGGTGAGTCACTCTGTATCTCCAGACCCCAATGGCCCAATAAGGAGAATAGCATTGAAGACTAAGAAATTACAGTAGAAGACCGAAAATTCAGGTACCTTGTGTACACGCACGTGTCTATGACAGGCAGAGAGAGCACACGTATGTGATCCAAAGAACTGCAGTGATCTATGACAGGCAGAGAGAGCACAAGTATGTGATCCAAAGAACTAGAGCGAGATGACTGACACCGAGTGGACGCTCAGTTGATGGGATCTATTATGATCACTCTTCTACGCTTGCTCCCCCTCCTTGGCACATACTGTCTGTATACTATTGAATAAAACTCTAAGGCCTGTAATCCCAACAACTTAGGAGGCTGAGGCAGGAAGACCACAAGTTTGAGGCTAGCCTCGGCAGCTTAGCAAGACCCTGTCTCAAAATGAAAAATGGAAAAGCCTAGGGATGGAGCTCAGCTATAAAACAGCCCAGGGTTCAACCCTAGTATTGCGAAATTATTTAATTAAAAACAAAAATCCAGCTCATCATTGCTTGCTGTCATTTTTGAAAACACATAGCCTCTCAGGACAAGGCAATGAAAGTTCATTAAACGATTATTTCCCTGTCCACACCATCCTAAAATGCTGCTTATCAATACAATCTATGATATTCAAGCCAGTATTCTAGCGAAATTATGCTTTCCTCACAAAGCTGGCTAGGCACCTTCAATACCACCCCTGTGAAAATCTGCCTGGCCTTTCTTTCAAAGTACAAAAGAACAGCTGGACGTGCAGGCCACACTGAACAGACCCCGCGGAGAGCCCTTTGGAGCCATCATTCGCCAATTTTTAACCCAGAGAGGGTAACACAGTGTTTATCAGTAATATACATTTTGTCCTTTGCCAACTTATATTCAGATAACTATGTTCATCAATCATCTGCCTGTGCTCAATAAAACCTTTCATCTGGCCATTTTTGTGAAACTCAACATCCTGAAAATAATCTCTAACGGGGAAATGATGCAGTATCAAAAATAAATTAAAACATTTTGTTTACTTTAAAAAAGTACAAGTAAAAAAACAAGTGGAATGAGTGTAGTGGTGCATACCTATGATCCCAGGAACTTAGGAGGCTGAGGCAGGAGGATTACAAGTTCAAAGGCAGCCTCAAAAATGTACTAGGCCCTAACCAACTTAGTGAGACCCTATCTTAAAATGGAAAAAAAAAAATTTTTTTTTAAAGGCTGAAGGTACAGCTCACTACTGAACCTCTCAGTTCTGATGTCTATAAATTAAAGTTACAAAAAATGTTCCCAGTACCCAAAAAAGAAAGAAAACAAAGTGGAGCAGGGAATCTATGGTCAGACAGGTCCATCCACCAAGTGAGAGGTGCAGTTCTTACTGGAGTCTGATTCAAACTAGCAGGTAAACAAGGCTTCTTAATGAGATAATTAAAGAACTACACATGCCGCCTAGAAAGTCAACCATAGCAAGGAATTCTGTCATTCTTTAGCTATAATGTTCTGATGTTTTTTTTTCCAAAGGAGTCTTACCTTTTAAAGAGAAATAATGAAAAAATTTACAGATGACATATGTGAAATCTAGCTTCTGCTTGAGAATAACTGGGGGAGAGGAGGTGTCTGCAGGGGGCAGGTGTGGAAATGACACAAGGTTGGCCACTAGCTGACCATGTTTGAAGCGGGGCAATAGGCAGCCATGGGAAGGCTCAATATGCGGTTCTCCTCACTTTTGCAACATTTGTAATTTTCCAACTTAAAAAAAAAAGTCAAGAGAACTTCACGAAACCAAACCAAATCCCCCCCAAAACGGTGCCTGTGAATGTCACTATTCACCAGGATTAAGCCAGTAGAGCTGTGAGAGAGGGCATGTGTTTGTCCAGCAGAGTAGCTTAAAATGTTAGATAACATCCAAAAGTCGGAGAAAATAAACTTCATGAAAATCTTGTAGTTCACACTAATGAGAACAGAACTAGTAATTCAAGGGCTGTAGCTCAAGTTGTCACTCACCTTTTTTAAAGCACAAGCCTTTATTACTTTTTCATATCGTTCTTTTTCATATTTCTTCCCAAATAAAATGTTACTCCTCACGGTTCCTGAAAACACCCAGGGCTGCTGAGAAACATAGGCGATCCTTCCATGCACGCTGACCAGCCCCTGACTCGGGGGCAGCTCCCCCAGCACGGCGCTCAACAGCGAAGACTGGAAGGAAGGGTGAAAAACACGTGAGAAGTCAGCACTGGGGACAGAAGGAGCACCCTGCACCCGGCCCTGCCCAGCCCTGGGGATGGACCTCCAGCCTTTCATTTAGAACTAGATAAGAGTCAGCACTAGACATTTCAATGAAATATTAGAAATACCACTATTAGTCAAAGTAAAATGTTTTGTAAAAAATATTAATAAAATACAATGTAACTATCTACTCTGCCCAAAACAGTTTCTCCCAATGAAATGCTATATGCAAACACTATAGGTCATAAAGAATGCTACATGAAACTCTGGGTGCAGTTGAGTGTTGAAGTGACACTGTAGCCTTTCATGATATATACTGCATATATCAGACACTGAGTGCAGTTGTGACCCATAGCCCATACTTTTCTTATCCAAATACTTGTTCTGGAGAAGGTATCAAGAAATAATATACCTAATGCACTAGGAAAGATTTTTTTTTTTTAGAGGACCTCTAGAGAGCAAAAATCCATCATAAAAGGAAGTGATCACCCTACCACCTGTACAGGCTACATTTAGATTTCTCTACTCAGTGTGCATGCAGGCTTCCTTCTAATCTTTCACAACACAGAGATGTGACATGCCTATGGTAGCCACTGTTAGAGTGCTTATAGCACTGAACTAAAAACGTCTGTTTCTCACTGTCTGTCCCCAGAACCTGGGAGCTTGTTGAAGGCACAAGTGACTGGGTCTGACTTATATGTGCACCTTCTGCTCTAAGCATAGCACCAGCCATGGACGTACTTTTACAACATGTGCACTGACATGACATTATGAGTGACATGGGTAAGACATAGGAAGACATGTGTAAAGATGGACAATCTCCAGATGTCTCGTAGCATCTAGGGTATGCTCTGACCAAAATAAGTCCCCACTTTCTCAGTCACTGCATCCTGAACAGCAGCCACATAAATAACTTTGTTCCCTGACATGTCCAACTTCTAGACAAGGAGTTCCCAACTGTAAAACCTGAAGCACCAAAGCAAAGACAATACGCAAAAGGCAGACTCTTTCAGAAAATCACATAAGCTTCTTGCAAAACCATCGTCCCATAGAACACGCTGAGAAAGACCGTTCCAGGGACAGTCAATTCAAAATCGTGTTGTGCACTGCTCTGGGCTCCACTCCAGAACGCACAAGGAATGTGGTGGTGCCTGAGCTGCCACAGGCCTCATAACTTACCTTGCCTGCTCCCACGGGGCCAACCACAGCCAGCAGTTCACCAGGTCTGACAGTAAAGGACAGGCCTTGTAGGGTTGGGGTTTCTGATGTCTATAAATTAAAGTTACAAAAAATGTGCCTATTTTAATAAAGTAATATAAATCACTCCAAAAGGTGCAGAAAATAAAGCCAGAGTCACACATGAATGTACCCCACATCTTTCTTCATCCTATTTAATAGGACATGTCCTAGCCTTCTTTTCATCCAGCCACACTTCTTGGTGGGGTTGATAGCAGTTCCAGCAACTTCAGGATTTAAGAAAAAAGCCCTTGAACCACATTTCCACATGGATTCAGCACTAGACATTCATAGATAGCATTTAAGTAGCAGAAATGACAAGGCAACCCTTCTGAACTGAAAACTCATTTCACAATAACTCACTAAAATAATATTCCTTTTTATTTTTAGTAAAATAATATTCTTATTTTGTTTTGGGGGGTTTGTTGTTGTTGTTTTGCCTTTTGGTTTTGTTTTTTTGTTTTGTTTTGTTTTTTTTGTTTGTTTGTTGATTGTTTTGTTTGTTTTTTGAGGGGGGTATCAAGGATAGAACCCAGGGGCACTTTACCAGCCTATTTTATTTTGAGACAGGGTCTCACTGAGTTGCTGAGGCTGGCCTCAAACTTGCAATCCTCTTGCCTCAGCCTCCCAAGTTGCTGGTATTACAGGTGGGTGTGCCGCGCCCAGCCTAAAATAATATCCTTAATACAATACTCAATATGAAAGGTTTTTCATTGTTTTGAGTTTTTGCTTGGTTTTCATCTTCTGTTTCGCCAACCTCCACAAGGTGGCAGCACGAGTTCACAGGATTCCCAGTCCCTAAGAAACAATTTAAAATCCCCACTCATCCCTGCATCTTCAGTTGATAAAGAATGAGTGTGAGTAATGCTCCCTTATATCATCCAGTCACTCTCTGCAAGCGACTGCTTACAATTGATGCTCAGTGCTATAACCAAAGCTCACTTTAACAACAAAACTGGGGAACAGATGAAGGGCAGAGGAGCCTGGTGTGGGTCAAAGTGAAAAATCTGTTCTACCTACACCTGTGGCCTGTTACCTTCCTGCCAGGCAGGATCAACATGGAGCTTCTACTACAAATACCAGGAAGACTCCCCACAATGTGCAGACCAAGTATTTCAACACTCCCAAGAATCGCATTCCTGAACAGTGCATAAATTCTAAGATATAGAGACCTAACTGGGATCCTAATTAGAGTAAGATATGAGTCATGTTTGTATAAATACATCAGCAAATACTCTCCTGTCACATGAATCTAAAAATGACAAATAAAATTTAAAAAGAGACTTAAAACTGTATGTATGTTTCATGTAGAGTTTGAACATTCCTGATCCAAAAGTCCAAAATCCAAAATCTGAACCTTCTGGATATCCCAAGTAGGAAATTGTACATCTAACCTTCTTGTATAAAACTACCTTTAGGCCATGTATATGTGAAACATAAATGAATTTCACACTTAGACTTCGGTCCTAACTCCAAGATAACTCTTTATGGACATGTAAATATTCCAAAATCTAAAAATATCTGAAATCTCAAATACTTCTGGTCCCAAGCACTTCAGATAAGGAATATTTAACCTCTACTAAATTTCAAGAAAAATCTTAATAATCGCTCAAGTTTAAAAAAAAAAAAAAATCTTGGGCTGGGGATATAGCTCAGTCAGTAGACTGCTTGCCTCACATACACAAGGCCCTGGGTTCTAATCCGCAGCACCACCAAAAAAAAAATTTTTTTAATGTTGTTTTATAGTTTCTCAGTTCAATTTATTCTTTAGGAAGCCAAACCAGATTCATTCCTTCTGCACAGAACTTCCAAATATTACAAAATCAACTGGCAGATCAAAATATGTGGATGGGAATGGGAGTTCAACACAGCATGATAAACCAAAATGAGGCTCCCTTTTCTCATTCAATTATAATCAGTACTTTAAATTATCTATTCTTCAAGAAAAAGGTCAGACAGTATAAAAGAGGAAAAGAATGGTTTTAAATTGAGAGTATAGAACCTCAAGAGTAGAATCACCAACTTTAAGAACTTTTGTCCAATCCCAGACATCATTACTATCAAAAGGAAGCTGACATAACTACTGAAAGTGGAGTAAAAAGACCTGATTCTGAAGAGTCACCCGGGGGCTTTAATCTCATAGCTAGGATCCCTATCTGCATTTCCCACAGGGTGGATCTGAAGACTCTTGACCATGTGCACCCCATGGCTGAAGATCTAGCAAATTTTGAGCCCCAATCCCTGTGTGAGGAGCCCTCTTAAGAGGGGATATGTTCTATTATATAAAAGAACAACCAAGAGTGAATCAAAGGAAATGTGGCCTTTTCAACTCTAGCAGTGGCTCATGCCTGTAATCCCAGTGGCTCAGGAGGCTGAGGCAGGAGGATCGCAAGTTCAAAGCCAGCCTCAGCAAAGGTGAGGTGCTAAGCAAATCAGTAAGACCCTGTCTCTAAATAAAATTACAAAATAGGGCTGGGGATGTGGCTCAGTGGTCGAGTGCCCTTGAGTTCAATCCCCAGTACCCAAAAAAATTGAAACTGGAGGGGCTGAGGCTGTAGCTCAGTGGTAGAGTGCTTGCCTCACACATATGAAGCACTGGATTCGATCCTTGGTGCCACATTATAAATAAATAAAATGAAGGTATTTTTTAAAAAATGAACCTCGAATCCCTGAAGGGCAGGACCCCCTCGGACAGGGAGTACCCATCTCCCATTATGCCCCTCAGGTTCTTATTAGGGCAGGGAGGCTTCTGCCCCATACAAGTGAGTCAGGCTGTGTACTGCTCTACTGTAACCAGAAGGGGGCAGCATTTGATGGCTAAGGGGGCTCCTGGTCATCTAGGCTCCCCTCACACTGAGGAGCTCCAAATCTGGGCCACACTAGGCCCAGAAAACAAGCCCCCATGGAGATCTGAAGATCCCACAGGACCATAAACTACAGATGAGTCATACAGATTATAAATGAGAGCTAGCTTGGTGAGATCTTCCCCCAAATAAGGGCCTGACCCCAGAGGGCTGCAAATGGAGTCCGGATATTTCAACTCCAAGCCCAGCACACTCCTCATTCCACCTCAGCTTCCAACTACCCCCATCTCTGTGTCCCTGCCCCATCCAAGGACCCTGACCCAGGACCTCACACGACCCAGGATCCCCCAGACAAGGCCAGAGCAGATGAAGTGCTCTGCGAGGGCAGCTGCAAAACAGGCTAAGAACATGGTTGTTCTCGGGAGAACAGAAGAGCCCATTTTCCCAACACTGCAGAGTTTGATTCAAAAGCAATTTGGCAATGGGTCCTACAAGATGTGTACCGGCAACCTTGGTGCTTTACCTAATCCAGTAGCATTTACCAGAGAGCCTCTTTATTGTGGGATTTTAGTGTGCTTCTCATTGACCCACAGAGCATATTAGGCTAGGATGTACCAAGTAGGCGAGGAGAAACCCCAGGTCAGAGCAGCCTGTACAAGTTCCCATGTGCAAAAGGTGCAGTGCTGTGGCTGGGGACAGATGACTGTTGAACTGGTAGAGGTGGCGGCATTACATCCGAATTAGGTGAAAAGCATGAAGAAAACAATTACTTAGAGGTAAGAGCAGGTGAAGAAAGGAAGAGTCTATTATTTGGCATTTGCACCACAGAAGTGGGGAGCAGAGAGGAGCTGGGTAGGAGTCCTGCTCAACCCCTCTGGCTGCCAGTCTGTCCCGCACTCCTACAAACTGCAATTCCAGACTCCCTCCAGCTCAAGTTCAGCAGTGGAGAGCGCCTGGTCTGAGGCTGGTCCTTCCAGCTCCACCCACCTGCTGGCCTTACCCACCCACGGCCTCTTCTGTTTTCATCTCCTAGGTACCAAATTCCCTGAAGGAAATTCCCTCTCCTGTGCTGTGACTTCGGTTTCCCAGACTGACCCAGACTGAGAGAGGGAGTCCTGCACAGAAGACCAGTGGCCCAGGTGGAGGGCCTTGGAGAGGAGGGTAAAGGGGGGCAAAATGGAGAGTCCACAAGTCGGAGCACTTTTTGAAGGTGTTCCTGTTGTTCTTCCCATCTGCCTAAATGTCCTCAGTAAACCAAATGTGGCAAAATCCTGGTGGCCTCACCTATTTCACTGTCTGTTTAGTATAAGACAAAACCCGGCAGTCAGGAATCCGGTTTACTATGCTGGCCCGCTGCCTCCTCCCTGTATGGGGTGCCACCAAAATAGCCAGTACCCTCCAGAGGCACAAATAAGGGAGTCCCACCCCTCCTCAATGCCAGCAAAACTCCAATTCATGGGCTTTCTCAGAATGTAATAAGATGACCTGAACACATTAAGGTAAAAACTGACTTCCACTGGTCTCTAAAACAATCTGAAATGTGGTTAACACACTCCATGCCACACCCTAAGACTACCCTCTTCTATAGATTCTAACCTTATCAGTGTCTAAACTCAGGTATAGAGTCCAAAACTAAGGCAACAATGAAAGTTCTCTTGAAATTGTGATAAAGAACAACTTGTCAAACAATTTAGGCTGATTTTGTATTTACTTCCTACTGACGACAAACCTTCCTCGTGATTTTTAGAATTTATATAACATACTATCAGTAAATTAGTAAGCACCATTTTGTGCAAATATGTAAAACTACAAACGTAATACATATCATGCAATATATAAAATCTTAAGATTTCTATGAAATCCGAGGCACTAGTTGTCTTCTGGAAGTCATGACCTTGAGATAGAGAATGTGTTACCTTATCCCAGAAAGCAGTAAAATCCTGCACATGCACTATCATTTTACCCTCTGGTGGCAGTTGGGGGTCTTGCGGTGATATCTCATCAAGTAGCAGGAAGTTCTAAAAAAAAGAAGGAAAAACAAAGATTGTTTGAACTGCAGAACCAAAAATCACAATCAAAAATCACTGCTTCCGTATAATTTGCAATATAGAACTCTATGCAGACTACACAGCATTTTATTGGTTGTATTTTAAGTGTCGATTCTAGGGCTGGGAACATTGCTCAGTGGGAGAGCTGCTTGCCTAGCGCGTTCCTTCCCCAGCACCGCAATAAATAAAAAGTGTTGATTCACATCAGAACATGCTAGATATTAAAAGATTTTACACAGACACACAGAGGAAATTTACAAATTAACAGCCATGAATGAACTGTCTGTTTAACATTCTCAACAAGTACATGGGTTCCTTTCTAAAGCAAAAATCCTGCTCCAAAGTTGAACACAGGTAGAACCTGAACATTTTTTTTTTAACTTCTACGTTACTAACAGTAAACATGGGGTGGGGAGTTTCAGTAGCAGAAAATGTTTTGATATTTATTAAATCCTCAAATGTGCCAAACATCATGCTGGAGGCCAGGAGTGCAAAACTGAAGGCCATTCCTAAGCCTTCAGGAGTCAAGTAAGGCCAGAAGCACAGGCAGGGACACATGACCAGTGGCAGAGATGGAAGGCAGGCCCAGGCTCTATCCGACTACCTTCTGGCTAGACTCAAATTCACTCTGCTTTTCTCCTCCCTCATACATATCAAATCAATATATCACAACATATCACTACTAATTCATCATTTTTTTTAAAATGTTCTTATTCAGTTAGGTTCTCACCTCCTAAAATATATTTTATAAGCATGTCTTCATAATCACTGTGTCTTCACCTTGGTAAATGTCCTCTCTTCCACTACCTGCTATTTTCTATACTAGTTAGCAGCTATTTGATGCAATTTAACTGAATAAATTCCTACTTATTATTAAAACCTAACATAATAATAATAGGCAAACACCCTCTTGCTTCTCACATGCCAGACAAAATCCAATTAGAGAAGCCACAGTGGCACAGTAATTAAATAAACAACCTGGATGTCCCCTAGCACCTCCTCCCCCTCCCCAAATTTTGCACATATGGCAGAAAATGCTGGCTGTCCTGAAAATCTGTTCTCCATCTTCTAAGGTAACAAGACCCTGCATCTTTAGCTGGTATGTGGCTGTCAAGAAAAAGGACCACTCTTCCCAGTCTCCTGGGAAGCCAGGTGCACACATGTGACAGGATGCTTCTGCTGCCATTAGGAAGCTGTTTCCTTCTCTGCACAGCAGGAACACTGAATGCTTATCTCCTGGACTGTTGTCAGGATGAGACACACTGGGCAGCGCACAGACACCCAAGCCCCAGGCAGCAAGGCCAGAAGGAGCAACAGCAAGAGGACAACAGCTCAACACCTGAGAAGCAGCATCGGGAGAAGTTACAGGGTATGTATACTTAGAAGTGCACTATGGCTGAAGTGAATTCTTCAGCATTTTCTTTCAGGATGCAAAAGCTATATAAATTTTTCTTTTTCTTTTTCTTTTTCAAGGATCCCACTAAGATGTCCAGGCTGGCCTCTAACTTGGATCCTCCTACCTCAGCCTCCTGAGTCTCTGGGACAATAGGTGTACACCATCACAAGAAGAAGAAAAAAAAAAAAAAAAAATATATATATATATATATATATATATATATATATATATTGAGCTGCATGGATCATCCCTTAAAAGTGTTCCTTGATCATGACAGAAAAAAAAATGAGAAGCTTAGGACTCTATGAGTAATTACATCTAAAAAAAAAATTTAGATGTTGATGGACCTTTATTCACACGTGCTAGGTAAGTGCTATACCACTGAGTCATAGTCCCAGCCCAGTAATTACATTTTATAAAATAAACTTTTAAATTTTATCACTTAAAAAAAATCTTGTCTTTAATGAAAATCCCCAATCCCCCAACCCCCCAAAAAAAATCCCACACAGGGTCATGTGAGTTCACTGGAGGTCTGTTATTGGACATCCAGCACTACTGAGACCCAGGAGCAAAACAAGTATTTTAAAGCTTCGATCCTGAAGTCCTTCCCAGGCCCTCTCACACAGCCCATTAATCCTCATCTTAGACAGGCTCATCGACACACAAATACTTGAGACCCATGAGGAGACAGGCCCTTATCTTGACTTCGCAAATCATTTGCCGCTAGCGATTTAGGGACCGCTCTTTAGGAAAAGCAACAGCAGCATTGTAGAAATCAATAGCTTGTACAGGAAGAAGCCTTCTAGAGACAGGCTCCTTGAAATTAAGAAAAAGTGAAGAGAGGACAAGGAGGAAAAGGGCAGGATCCAAAAGGTACACCCAGACATCAACAAGCAAACCATCTGTGGAGAAAAGAACCCGTCCTTTTCAGCAGGGATGACCTTGTGAAGTGCAGGCCATCCTTCCTGTCCAAGCTGCAGGGATTTTCCTTCCAGCCCAAAGTAGCTTCCACTCAGCACTGCACACAGCCCTGCCTAGATACTCCAGCTGGCCCCGGGAGGAAATGTGTTTGCTTCTCCTGCTTCTGGACATGCTCCTCGCTCCTGCAGTCCTCATTCCTACATCCAGGGCCCCGTGCTGCTGCCCCTAAGTGAGCAACAATTCTTGTGCCATGTTCACTACACTCTACCTAAGAAACATACCACATTTTGGACTGACTGTGTGTGCTGGTGCTGAAAGAGTTAAACTTCCCTAACCAGAACAGTGACAGTAAAAAGAAGGCACCATTGTATCCACCTACGACTTTAACATTGTCTGCCACCACACCTTGATTCTTCGAATGCTGACGACTGCTTCAGACACTCTCTCGATGGCTGAGGGGAAGAACAGGGTGACCGTCAACCGCACAGCCCCATACAGTGTCATTGCCACAAATACACGACTGGCTGTGATCACGTTGCCGAGCAGCACGTAGGTGGTGAAGGTCACAAACAGGATGATTTTATTTGCAACGAAAAATGATGCCAAATTCATCCCTCTGAGGTAGGAGCTTCTCAGGACCTTGGAAATTTCCTTCCTGGAAAAGATAGTCGAATGCATTTGTTTTTCAAGAAGCATCATCAGAAGTCATGAAACAGAGTGCCCTGTGAATGTGGCCCCTTTGTTACATTATGGAAACATTTGCAAGCACAGGCCCTGGGGCAGCTTCCTCCAAAGACCACACAGAGCACTAGGTGACCACTTTGCTTTTCCATCTGAATGATGCTGAAGTCACCGTGAGTCAATCAGAAGAATCATCCTATCAAATTCATTCAATAAGTATTCATAGCTATAAGTCCTGGGCCAGGCATCCCACTGATGTCAGTAAGATAAGCAAGACACAGCCTGTCCCCCGTAGGAACTCATGGAAAAAGAGAATAAACAACCCCAAAGCTGTGAGACCCCAAAACACTGGAGAGAGTAGCTAGCAGGAAACCTCACAGAGACACAGGAGAGGCAGGAGAAGCTATGGTAAAGGCAGAGAGGGCTGCAAGTTTGGAAGAAGCCAGAAGAATGAAGCAAAGAGCACATCTGAACACCGGGAGTACCGACAAGAGTGCAAAAGTGAGAGGTGGCCAGGGGCTACCAGAAACTTGTAAGTCCCTCGTACGAACACATAAAGAACACCCCGCAGCTGGGAAGGCTGAGGCAGGAGGATTGGGAGTTCAAAGCCAGCCTCAGCTATTTAGTGAGGCCCTAAGCAACTCAGTGAGACTCTGTCTCTAAATTTAAAAAAAGAAAGAAAAAGGATTATGCTGGGAATGTGGCTCCATGGTTACATGCCCCTGGAACCAAAAAAGAAAAAAGAAAAACACCAGTATTTCTATAGCTGTTTCTAATGAATAACACCCATTTATATAGTTTGGCATCATACAGACATAACCAATCTCTATCATCTGCCCTCTGATTACATTAGCATAAAACAGTCTCAAACTCTGGCATCTGGAAATCCTTACTTATGGGGGTTTGGAATGTTCAGAAACATGTAGAATTTCAGTTTTGTATCACAAAGAAGCCTCATGACTTTTGCTGTAGGAGAACAGAGACTGGAGGCCCAGGTGAGCATGGCGTCTGGTGCCATTCTGCTTGACCCTCTACCACGTGCAGGGCTGGTTCGGGTCATACTTAAGTTCACCCTCATGTGTAAGCACAGAATGACTTCTAAACTCCTTCAGTAAAAACAGAAAATAGAAAAGCACAAAAATATGGTACGATGAACACAAAAACTTACTTTCTCAAGTTGGTAATGAGGTCTGCAAATGACTTCTCCCAAGCATACATCTTTATTATTCTTATTCCAGTTATAACTTCATTCATGGTCCTGATCCTGGCATCCGTGTAAGCTGCAGTTTTACTCCTAAGGGGGACAGACAAGAGGGATGAGCCACGCCTTTCCTTATCAGCAGGGGGCATGGGCCCAGACCAGGGACCAAAAGCTTCCCTCCAGATCTGCTGATGACACAGGCAGGTCCTTCTCACAGGACAAGTGGACCAAGGCACAGTGAGGAAGCTGACAACGCACCCAGCTCCATGAGTGTTTGGAGCATTTGCAACACCCCCTAAGGAAGAGGGGAAAGTGGCCCTCGAGGGGCACCCAGGTCGGGGAGGCAGCAAGGCCTCCGGCTCTGACAGTGGCATGGTTGGCAGGGGTGGAATGAAGCAGGAATAAAGCGCTGCAGGGCAGGGGTGAGAGGGCTGTTGGTTGTTCCATGGGGAAAGGAGAAAGCAACAGGGCTCCAACACACCAGGACCCTGGAACAGGGCCTCCAAGGAAAAGCAAAGAGGGGAGAGGAAATTCTCCGGTAGAGCAAACACCACAAGCAAAGGCACAGAAGAAAGTGATCAGGTACATCAAACAGCAGGGCATCTCCACCACCTGCCACCCTCACAATGACCCACTTCCAACTCTGGCACCTGCTTCAAGTCTAAGTCACTTCTACCATCATCAAGCTCTTTGCTGACAGCCATGTTTTCTAACATATATGCTGCTAGGACTGTGAGACTTTATGTCATTAAGACTGACCCTGCCCTTGGGGAGTTTCTAATTTAATGGAAACATCAAATTAAAAATAGCCCACAAGCCATGGCACGCGCCTGTAATCCCAGTTTCTCAGGAGGCAGGAGGATCGTGAGTTCAAAGCCAGCCTTGGCAAAACAGAGACACTAAGCAACTCAGTGAGACCCTGTCTCTAAATAAAATATAAAATAGGGCTGGGGATGTGGCTCAGTGGTTGAGTACCCCTGAGATCAATCCCAGTACCCCCAAAAATAAAAAATAATGCATACAAAAAAATAGTGCCAAAACACAGGTGATAAAAATATATGCAATTAGAAGTGGGCCTATGAAATATTTTAATTTATTATTCTTTAAGATACATTTAAATAACTTCTACATATCCAACTTCTGCTCACCTACTTGGTGAGACCACAATGCGTGAAAAGGCAGCTGGTAGCAGTGAGGGCCTTTACCTTCCCCCTTTAACACTGGCCTTCAGCTAAGCCTGAAGAGTTTGTGACACATGCAAAGAAGAGAGGCATTTATTTTTAATCAGAGGCATTTATTTTGTGTCTGAACAGAAGCATCAGGCAGGTGGTGCCTGTTACCACACAGTGACACTGTTTCCAAATTAGTACTTCTCTTACCGCAGGGAGGAAAACAGCTTCCCAATGCAGCTTTGCAGAGGCAGGAGGATAACCAGAACCACCATTCCCGCAAGACATGATATTCCTATTTCCATCCAGAGAAGGGCAGTCACAGCAATGGCCTGCAGCGGCCCCGCCCACAGAAAGTGTAAAAAGATTGTCACCTTCAAAGGAAAAGACAACATGTTCTTAGGACTAGATAAAAGAAGATTACAAAAAAAAAAAAAAAATCCAGTACGAACACAGCACAGAAATGCTCTGCTCCAAAAATGACCAGAGCGGACTTCAAACCTGAGAGGTGGAAATTCAAGTGTCTCTTGCAGATGAAGCCATGTGGGGCCACAGAGGGCCTTCAGGCCCTTTCAAGAGCACTTGACTGGAAGCAGAAGGAAGACTCTGAACTAGTCTAACTCACAGAGGATCTCAGAACATCCCAGAACTCTCTGTGTGGCATAATTAGGTCCCATCTCCCCTGGGGCTCCCTAGTACTTTAGGGGGTGCTATACCATGGTACCTGCTACCTTCTCCAGCCACTGCTTAGCTATATAAATACATACATAACTCCTGGACAGGTTTCAAGCTTCTTCAGGAACAAACTAAAATCTTCACCCCTGACATTAAGCAGGGAAGGAGGAAACTTAGTTTATTTTTGATGAATAACTGAAAAAGAAGTGGCCCCTGTGCAAGATAGATTTGACCAGAAGCTAAAATGTCCCATATTTTGTGTTACAACTATTAGGTAAGTGTAAAAAGTAACTGGCTGAATAGAGGAAAGTTGCTTATTCTAACTAGGGACCACCCATTTGGCATTATGTAGCAAAGGATTCCTACAGGCCACAGGGAAAAGATTCAGCCCACCTGCCCCCCAGGAGTTTACCTCTAGAAAAAGAGAAAGACAATTCAGCATGCTGTCCCACTGCCACATACTAAGAGTTAAGAAGGGACAATGGAGGACAGCTAGGTGGTCAAGCCAGCTGGGCAGAATCACTGTGGTCTGCATACATATTATTCAAAGATGATGTATGGGACGTGCAAAAAACCCAAACCTGAATCTACAGGATAACAATGTATTCCTGCATCTAAATGATACCAGGAGAAGTGAGATGTACATTTAAAAAAAAAAGCCTCTGTCTTACGTCCTCAAAAGAATACTGGTCTGCACCAAAAACCTGCCATCACAATAGGTTAAACTAAAAAAGAGGCACGCATGGAAAAAGGCGCCCCTGGATTTACCTGGTCAAACTTGTTCACATCATTGGACAACAGGTTGACTATCTGGCCTGTGGTCGTCTTCCCCATGGCCATGTTACTAAGACGAAGTGCCTGGAGGAAAAGAGGAGAGGGGAGAATCGTATTGCTAGGTGATACTGCATCGCATGTAGAAAACAGCACATTTTCCTGGGGACTTGTGCATTGTAAAGGCCAAGGTGACTCTTGACAGCAGCTTTAAGAAGGGCTCCAAGCAGCTGTGGTATCCAAGGACATCAAAGAAAAGAGAAGGAAGTGGGAAAGATCGCACCTCGCTTTTTAATGAATGTGATTGCATCCAATATAGAAAAGCACGTACACTCACACTGAACCACCTACCAAATAATTCTGAGCCAAGTGAGATAGCCAAAGAAAACAAATTATAGGACTTGGATTATAAATACGGAATGAGTAACTGTGCATCCACAGAGGAGGAAAGCAACGTGCATGCACTGCACTGTGCGTCCCCTCAACCAACATGTGGCTCTCCCAGCCACTTTCATCTAGGGCACTGCAATCACCCCATACACACACACACATGCTAGCCTCCACCTTGGGACAACAGACAGGGCACAGAGGCAGCAGCCTACCACAGCACTGCACACCACAGGGCTGGGTCTCAAAACAGGCTGCCCAATGCCCCCACATGGCTTGCCCTCTCAGCCACATCTCTGAAAGCGATTGCCTCTATCTAGGTTCCCCCTGCTGGCACCACCACCATCTTTAGTTAGGGAATCTTCCATCTTAAGACACCTGTTGGGCCTAGAAGCCTAACATCAAGGTACCTACAGATATGAAGCTGCCAAGGCCACCCACTAGGGACATGCCTACTTCCATCTAGAGATAATAGCTAGAATCTGTAAGACCATCACCAAGGTCCCCGCAGGCTTGGTTCCAGCAGAGGTATCCCTGCTAGCCCACATCTCGATTCCTCTTTCACTCTTCCTGTGATCTTCACTCTATATTCTCACCTCCTACCTCACAAACCCCACATCCGACACCCCACACCACCCCTGCTCTCTCACTGTCCACCGTTAGAAACTGTAGACCCTTATGCAAACCTACTGTTTATATCGTAAGATTAATCTAACACATCATTTCTGTTTATTGCAACAAAACTGTAACTGTTTAAATAGGAGCTATTTGGTTTAAGGCTGCACGTTGTTCACACTGGGTGCTGTAAATACTGATCTCTCCTTCAGAGGTGAGGTATTGGTATCCTGCAGGAACACTATAAGATTATAGGGTAGAAACTGTATTACCCTGGGGATCTGCACTGCTAGAGGAAGACACATGGACAACATGAAGGGAAGAAGGTGCCCCCAACAAACCAAGATGTACAATAATAGAATTCATTGACAGCACAGTAGATGAAATGTCACAGAAGTTGTTCAGAATGTACATAATTTAAATGATCTGCAAAGCAAAAATGCTCTTATGAGCGCAAACATAAGCAACAATTGCTCACTCCAACAAAGAGATAGAGATACAGGTAGTAAAAGATTACTTCAAGAATAAAGAGATTCTGGGAAAGAAAAAAAAAACAAAACAGAAATCCTTGAAATGAAGGAAACAATAAACGAAATAAAAAATTCAACAGAAAGCATCACTAACAGACTAGGTCACATGGTAGACAGTGCCTCAGGCAATGAAGACAAAATATATAATCTTGAAGATAAAGTTGACCACATAATGAAGATAAGAAACCACAAAAAAAACCTCCAAGAACTATGGGATAACATGAAAAGACCAACTCTAAGGATTATCAGGATAGAGGAAGGCACAGATATACAAACTAAAGGAATGCACAATTTCTTCAGAATTTCCCAAACATGAAGAATGAATTGGAAAATCAAATATAAGAGGCTTACAGGACACCAAATGTACAAAATTACAACAGATTCACAACAAGGCACATTATAATGAAAATGCCTAGCATACAGAATAAGGATAGAATCTTAAAAGATGCAAGAGGAAAGTTTCAGATCACATATCGGGGGAGACCAATTCATATATCAGATTTCTCAACCCAGACCCTCAAAGCCAGGAGATCCTGGAACAACATACACCAAGCTCTAGAAGAAAACGGGTGCCAACCAAGAATCTTATACACAGCAAAATTAAGCTTCAGATTTGATGATGAAATTCAAAACCTTCCATGATAAACAAAAGTTAAAAGAATTAACAATGAGAAAGTCTGCAATAAAGAACATTCTCTGCAAAATATCCAATGAGGAGGAAATGAAAACAACAATGAAAGTCAGCAAAGGGAAAAACTCCACTAAAGGAAAAGCCAATCAAAGGAGAAATCAAGTCAAGTTAAAAACCAAAAATGAACCAAAATGACTGGGAATACAAACCATATTTCAATAATAACCCTGAATTTTAATAGCCTAAACTCATCAATTAAAAGACATAGACTGGCAGATTGGATTTTTAAAAAACAACAACAATATGCTGCCTTCAAGAGACTCATTTCATAGGAAAAGACATCCATAGACTGAAGTTGGAAGGATGGGAAAAAACATGGATCACGTAAACAAGCCCTCATATTAGACCAAGTGAATTTCAAACCAAAGTCAGACTGAAGGGATAAAGAAGGTCATTTTATACTGCTTAAGGGAATCATACACCAACAAGACATAACAATCATAAATACCTATGCTCCAAACAATGAAGCATCTACATATATCAAATAAACCCTTCGCAATTGCAAGAATCAAATAGACCACAACACAATAATACTGTGTGTGACTTTAATACAACTTTCTCATCACTGGATAGATCTTCCAAATAAAAAACTAAACAAAGAAACTATAGAACTAAATAATACAATCAATAATTTAGACTTAACAGACATAGATAGAATATTTCATCCATCAACAAGTGAATACAGTTTTTTCTCAACAGCACATGGATGGGATCCTTCTCTAAAACAGACCATGTCTATCAGACCATAATAAATTAAATTAAAAATCAATGATAAAATAAAAAATAGAAGCTACTCTAACACCTGCAGACTAAACAATACGCTATTGAATGATGCACAGATACCAGAAGACATCAAGGAGGAGATTAAAAAAAATTCTTAGAGGTAAATGAAAATTCTGATACTTCATTACCAAAATCCCTGGGACACTGTGAAAGCAGTGCTAAGAGTAAAGTTTGTTGCATTGAGTCCATTCATCAGAAGAATAAGAAGTCAACAAATATAGGACTGACATTACATCTCAAAACCCTAAAAAAAAGAAGAACAAATCAACACCAAAAGTAGTAGAAGATAGGAAATAATTAAAATCAGGACTGAAATCAATGAAATTGAAACCACAGAAACAATTGAAAACAAAAAGCTAGTTCTTTGAAAAAAATAAATAAAATTGATAAACCTTTAGTCACCCTAACAAAAAGGAGAGAGAAAACTCAAATTACTATTATCCGTGATGAAAAAGGAAACAACAGACACTTGAAATACAGAAGATAAATAGAAACTATTTTAAAAATTTATATTCCAGTAAAATGGAAAATATCGAAGACCCCTCCAAATTTCTAGAGGCATAATAACTGCTCAAACTGAAGCAGGAGGATATACAAAATTTAAACAGATCAATTTCAAGCAAGGAAACAGAAGACGCCATCAAAAGCCTACAAACCAAGAAAAGCCCCAGGACCAGATGGGTTCTCATGCTAGTTCTACAAGGCCTTCCAAGAAGAACTAACACCAATACTCCTCAAATTATTCCATGAAGAGAAAAGGAGGGGACCCTTCCAAACGCATTCTATGAAGCTAGTATCACCCTGATACCCAAACCAGACAAAGATATCAAAGGAAAGAAAACTTTAGACCAATATCCCTGATGAACATAGACACAAAAATTCTCAATAAAATTCTGGCAAAGAACATTAAAAAAAAAAAAAAATAGCACACCATGATGAAATGGGGTTCATCCCAGAGATGCAAGGTTGGCTCAACATCCGAAAATCAATAAACGTAATAAATCACCATCAATAGACTTAACGACAAGAATCATATGATTATCTCAATACAGACAAAGCATTTAACAAAATACTGCACCTCTTCATACTCAACACTAGAAAAACTAGGAATAGTAGGAACATACCTCAACATTGTAAAAGCTATCTATGCTAAGCCCCAGGCCAACATCATTCTAAATGGAGAAAAATTGACGGCATTCCCTCTGGAACAAGACAGGGATGCCCTCTTTCACCACTTCTATTCCACACAGTCCTTGACACTCTAGCTAGAGCAATCAGACAGATGAAAGAAATTAAAGCGATACACATAGGAAAAGAAAAACTCAAACTATCACTATTTGCTGATGACATCATTCTATACCTAGAGGATCCAAAAAATTCCACCAGAAAACTTCTAGAACTCATAAATGAATTCAGCAAAGTAGCAGGATATAAAATCACTACCATTAAATCAAATGCATTTCTATACATAAGTGATGAATCCACTGCAAGAGAAATTAGGAAAATCACCCATTCACAATAGCCTCAATAAATAAATAAATAAGTCACTTGGGAATTATTCAAACAAAAGAGGTTAAAAAAAAAAAAAACCTGTACAATGAAAACTACAGAACTCTAAAGAAAAAAACTGAAGAAGATGGAAAGATCTCCCATGCTCCTGAATAGGCAGAATTAATATTGTCAAAATATCCATACTACAAAACTGTTATACAGATTTTTAATTTTTAATTCCTATTAAAATCCCAATGACATTCTTCATAGAAATAGAAAAAGAAATCATGAAATTCATTTAGAAAAATAAGAGACCCAAGATAGCCAAAGCAATCCTTAGCAAGAAGAGTGAAGCAGGAGGCATCACTATACCAGACCTTAAACTATACTACAGAGCAATAGTTACAAAAACAGCATGGTGTTGACACCAAAATGGACTTGTAGACAAATGGTACAACACAGAGGATACAGAGACAAACCCACATAAATATGGTTATCTCATATTAGAAAAAAAGCACCAAAAACATTCACTGGAGAAAAGATAGCCTCTTCAACAAATCGTGCTGGGAAAACTGGAAATCCATATGTAG